GGAAGACTATGCACATCTGACTGAGGAAGAGAAAGACCATAAGCAATTTGTGTATGACACTTTGTATCATATACTTTGATTTATTTGAAATTTCCAAGCCTTCTGTATATTTTGGTTATTCTGGAATTTAAGCTTATTCTGATAAATCCTGAATGTTAACCTTAGTTGAATGTTGCATGTTGCTCATCTTTTGTTTTAGTTAGTCAAATAGATGATTGTATTGATACTTTAGGCATTTATGTTCTATGTGTGTCTCTATTCTGTTAGTATGATAGATGATAATATTTAAATTAGTGAGAGATATGTTGTCATATGGATCTAAATATGTTATAATGAAGTTGGCAACTTAAAGCAAATATGGCTTTAGGTAGTCTGTGTTCACAATTACATGTGTGTGTTCACATTATAGTGAAACTAAGAGGGGTTTCTGAAGTTTGCAAGGTTTAATTGTGTTTGTAACAGGTAATTGTGTTGATGAAGTTTAAACCACATTCTCATATACATAGACAGCATGAGAGATAGAATGAGCAAGTAAGTATATATAATGTTGTTTGCAGTTTTAATAAAGGATGTCTACAATTTTAAACAACCCATGCTAGCTAAAATACGTTATTGTCAATAGCATCTATTAAAAACTATTGACTGTTAATATTATGGGTTGTAATTTAAATAAAAAATTGTAACATGAAATATTAATAACCAAACACAGACGAGGGTTCCACAAAAACATCTTTAATTTTCATCCTCCATCCACTTCTTCTAAGTGCTCCAATACTTCTTCCACTGTGGAGAGATCACATTTAAGTTGATTAAGCAATTCATCTCTTCTTTTCATCACATCCATTTTCAAATGTCTTTGCTTATACTTATTTAAACTTTTATCCTTCATAATGTCAATCATAGTAGCTTGTAGTGTTACAAAGATTCTGCTCAATTACTTAGATGTGTAAACTTCAAATGACTTCTCCATAGCCTTGACAAGGTCATTTATAGTTTTAAGTGCTTCTTGGTGTTGTAATGCTTGAATTGCTCTAAAATAGCTAGATAAAAAATGTTTAAATTTGAGGAATTTTAAGGGTTGAGAAATCAAGCGAATATCAAACCTAGTATCACTTATTGCCATATGAAAATTCTCATCATTGTCCTTAATGTGACAAGAGCATCATCTTACTAAATAAAGATGGTTTCACTTGCATGACTTGCTGGTCATTTGGTAGTACTTTTTAATTGAAAAAGATTTCAACACTTCTTTTGTAATTGAAGTGACTAGTTTTGTTTTTATTGTGTCTCTACTCCTATTCACACTCTTTTTCTTTGCTGCGTCTTGTCTAAAAAATAAAACAACCCCATCTTCCCTAAAAAAATTAAATTTCCTTGTGCATCAAATCTATGCTTAACCACAATAACTAGGAACATAACTTTACCACATAATTCTGTTTTACATGTTTGATGTGGCGGCTCCTCCCTATTATTAAGTAGTAGGCCTAGGATTTCTTTGTCATATAAAACCATTATTTTATCCATATAGATTATGTTATGCATAGATTGAAAAGTTGGAATTATTTGATATACTTTTCTTCTTCTACCATGGACAAACAAACCTCAATATAGCAATTATGTTTTGCTCCTTCAAATGCAGTTTGATTATACTAGTGTAGTGCCACAAAACTCATTTTTTTAAAGTCTGATTAGTGATGTCTTGTTAGCTCTAACGTGCTTACAAGAGACCTATAGGAAGTTCTTCGGAAGTTCTTCATCGTACAGGAATTGCCATGAGTTGTTACATTTCACATAGCTCCCTTCTTGTACACTATTTTTCTTTCTATGACTTGCATCCCCTATTTCCTTAATTCAATGCCAAATACATTGAATGAGTCTCGTTGAAACTGAGTATGCTGAATTTCTCTCTTGTTATAAAATTGTTCAACTTATCTTGAAAGTTTGAGTTTAACAAAATCTTATAAATGGCTACACATTCTTCATTTGATAAGACCTTCTTGTTTTACATGGTGCCTGCCTTAGTGATTCCATTGTATTGTCTCCATATCTATCTTTGTTTCAAAAGTTTTATTGATGTTAGATTTCATGGCAAACCATATAATCTAATGAATTTTTTTTTTTTGCAGAAAAATGCTTAAGGGAGGCTAGGTTATATTTCAAATTAAGCAAGCTTTTAGGAGATGAAAAAGATGCAAGCCACAAACTCTAGCCCAATCAAATGAGATAAGATCTTCATTAGTTCATGGCTTGAAATAATATGGTATTCTTTCTCTTTTTTTCCTATTTTTGAGTATATTATGAGTTAGTAAGATGAGCATTCACTTATGTGGTTTCAATAAAGTAAAGTAACTTGGTTTCTTATGAAAGACGATGGCTGTCTCATGATACTCGATTGCAATCATAAAAATGTTCTGCTATTGATAAGTAGGGATTGTCCTTTCATAATGTCAAATGTTATTTATCTAATTATGTCTGAAAGTGTCAATGTCTCTGTTGGTGACTCTTGCTCTTATTGTAGAAGTTTTCATGGATTAATTATCTTTAGCTACAGTGTACGTTTTTTCTGGTTGAGAAAATAAACTTAAAATTTAAAATTCTAACCCCATTTCTCTCTTCAAAAGTGAAGTAAAATATCCACATGTTCTAAATTTTTTTAATAGTATGATGTGAGTTATATGGGTTCTGAATTGTTTTTCTTACTTACTTGCAAATTTGTGCATGTTTTTATCATAGGGATGTCATGTTCTAGATTTGTTTTAAGCTTCATATATTTATTGTTCACCAACTTTCATATATTTATTACTATAGATCTGTTTTAATCTTCATAATATTTGGGAAGGACTAAAGATACATTCTTAGCCATGATTACAAGACTCTAAATGTATAAGCTTCATATTTTATTACTCATATTTTTTTATAGGTCTTCACAATGTAAATTTTATATGAAGATACTCATGGGCCTCATGAAAATAGAAGATATCCTTATTTTTTTTTCTTCATTGATTGCAATATGTTGATCATCACTTTAATAGTTGTCCAGGTGGACATTCTCACATATGAGAGGAGCATTTAAGTTCAAGGAAATATATTGCTATCCCCATTGTCTTCCTTATTGGCTGGAGCATTTAAATCAAAGGAGAGTAAGCACTTTTCTATAGTGGAAGACTGAAAATTCTGTGCCTTTGTTTTGTATTTTAGTATCTATGCAATTTGACTATCTTTTAAAGGGATTTAACTTTCCTAAAATTCATCATGCCAATTCCTTTCAATCCTCACTAGAAAAAAAAATGAGAATAACTTTTTTTTCGAAAAGGTAGTAACTATTTTCATATCTATAAAATATGAGAGAGAAATACAGAAAAATTATATTATATTAAATGATTGTATCTTTTACCTTTTCATTTGAGGGTTAATTTTAAAAGTTCATTATAATTATTTATTGCACTTATTTGCACTCAAATTGTAAATTTAAAGGCTCAGGCTCAACTCACTTTTAACTTTAAAATAACTATAAGAAAATATTCATGAAGCATTAGCCACTAAGTTAAGACCATCCACATTTCACCCATGATGAGTAACTATAATAGAGAAGTGGTTCCTAAATTCAAGAAAACTGGCGATCAAGGTATCAAGCAGAATCATCTATAAATAGAGGAGCCATCTCTCAACAATCATCATCAGTATCAACAAACTATTAGTCCAAATTTTTAGACTTGCATTTGCTACTTTATTTTATTTTTCTTTTTATTATGTGTTTTAGTCTTTATTTTTTGTTGTGCGGCTAGCATAACCGATCACCTCTTTTTTTAATTAATGTATCTTTACTTTTTTATATCTATATTAATTTTCTTTAGTTTGCATTTTTATATATGTGAAAGTGATAAGAGAGCTCGAGTTTTTTTGTGTTTAATTAGAAGTCAGGTTTTTTCATCCTTTTGAGAACATCGCATCTCTAGCACAACCTTGTAACATCCCCTTTTATTTTTTGCCTAACAATACTTTATTGTATTGATATTAATGAATTGGTATAAAAGATTTATAAATAAAATAGAGAAAATATTTTACAGAATAATCATCTAACTAGACTTTTTTCATGATATTGGGATTTTGACTTTTTAATCATTCACCACCTATTTTTACAGAGGTTGGAAGATGACAATCAAAATGCTTTCTTATTATATAATAGAGTTTTAAATTTCTATTACAAAAAAGTATAGTTAGATGTCATATGCATAGAGTTTGCTTACATTTGGAGATACAGAAAATTTGGAAGTGACATAATGTGTATACAATGCATTGAAAATTGGACAATCTATTAAATGAAAAGAATTGTTCAAGATCAATACTCCATTTAATCATGATATTTTTGTTTTCAAATTTTACATTATTTATATTTTACTTCTTAAAAATTTTATTATCAATATATTTTATTAGATAAAATTAATCTGTAAGTCCTCCTAATTTTTTTATTTTTAAATTAAGTTCTCATAATTTATTTTATTTTATATTATAATTTAAATTGATTGATGAAAAATTAAAAGACTTACAAATTAATTTTTTTTATTATATATGATTCAACCAATAAAATATTATATTATTTATCATATTAAATGTTGTGTTATTATATATTTTTTTTTAAATTAAGTTTTGTATAACAAAAAATATATCATAAAACCAACATTCTTTTTTATAATTATAAATTTAAAAATCTTTTTATTATATATAATTTAAATAATATTTATTTTAAAATTGATTTTTTTACAAAATAATTTAAATAATATTTATTTATTTAAAATTGATTTTTACAAAATATGTTCAAATATAAATTCATTACAATAATTAACTTCTATCCTCTTGACAACCCCAGTTTAGACAATCATTGTCCGTTGGCTCCCGTTAACCCACGAAAGAGGTGGTGTGTCCATCGGTTTACAAGGTCTCTGCGTTTCTATTCGTCGTTGTCTTCTTCGCACAAGGGTAGGCGAAGATTACAGTCGTAGATGGAGGCCCTTGCTAGTCTTCACCACCGTCACCAACTGTTCGGTTCCTCAGTCGATTGCTGTTGTCCGTCGCTCCGAAGATCGTGTCTTTTCCCAATTTCTCTCACCTCCTGTGGCCCTTCTATCTCCCTCCGTTAGAGCTTCATCTGACTCGACTCAGCCGAATTTCCAAATTCCTCAGACACCTTTGAATCAATTCTGGACTCTTTCCCCAAAATCGCCTCGTTTGCCACTTTAACCGCTGTATCGGCGTTATTCTTCAATGGGTTTTATCGGAATGCTTTAATTTCTAAGTGCATTGCGTCGTCTCCGGTGGCTGCCATCCAAGAATCCGTGGTTGAGGAGAGCGAAATCGAGGAGTTTGTGGGGCCTGCTCGCAAACCATTTCATGGATGCTTAATGCGGTATTTGAAGCTCAAGGAGAAAATTCCAGTAGTGTACGATTTTACGAAAATAAAACCTGACGATCAAGCTTGGAAGGAGTTGAAGTCCCATATTTATAGTTGTAGCGAAGAGTTGGAGCTGGTGAAGATTGGATTTGAAGAGATATTGGAGAAAGATCCATACAGCAAGAAGTCCTATCACGGTCGTGTACTTGAGTACCTGGAAATGGTTGATGAATGTAAGGACATATTGAAGGATATCAAGAAGAAAATGGATAGGTGTGAAAGGCAAAGTGAACATACGAAGTACTTTTTGAGAGTATTTAACGACTTGGTTGATCGAGTAAGAGTCTTGCAGGGATACATGGTCGGTGCTTTGAAGTTTTATCAAGAGCTTGAGGCAGAATAAGAGCAATTTGTCCTTAACGCTGGTTTTAAAGCGTTTTGTATGACTTATGTTCGATATAAAGATTGAAAAGTACCCAATTGCTCATGAAGGTGGGTGTATGAGGCTTAGCTCAAATGCAACATTCTGCTTTTATTATGCCAAGTGATCTTTATTTGTAGTAGTCTTACCAGAGTGACAATATACTGAGTATAAACAGGAAATTAAACCATTGGCTGAAGCATTGGGCTGAATCGCAAGCACAACATATGTATGTATAGTTTAGTGAATATGTGCAGTAATAATTAATTCTTGGAAGAGTATCAATAGTCCTAGAGTGTTTTTTATTCCTGCTTTGGTATTATTGACTAATATACTGTGCTTCTGCAAATTTGGTCGATTCTTTCAATCACCTTGTTGCAATTGCTTCGACTTCTTATCTTTCAGGTTTGGCAATTCGGTTTCTGACTTTTGTGTAGGAACTAGATCATCCACAAATTGCTTGATGTGCGATTGCAGTGACAATGTTGAAAAAGTAGGTCTCAAATTGGACCTTAATAATGTTATCTGTAGTCAGGTAAATCATGTTAGATTAGACATTTTAAAAGTTTTTGGTGCTTTGGATGGATTATATTTTTGTTTGATACAATTCATTTTATCAGGTTATGCATGACTTGGTTATAGTTGAGGTTTATAACTTGCCCAAGATCCTATGACAAAGTCTAAAATTCTGAACTAACGACTGAAGTGAAAGGTGAGGATAACAAAGACAACGTTGATTCATCCCTTTTAATCCTTTGCAGTTCTGTCATATTTTTAGTGGATGAATTAGAATTTGTACTTAGAAGTTGCAACTTTCCACTGATTCCCTATTGTCCATCAGAATATTCTTTACGACACATTTGTGTAGAGCAGGAATTCATCAGTTGGCATTGTCTTTAAACTTGCTTTGCTGAGGGCAGTTCTTGTGGTCACTGTTGGATTACTGATTTGCTGTCCATATGTTATTGTGGGCTTTTCGTTCTACTTACAACGTTAGTAGGGGGGCATTAGTTGATTAGGCAATGTGAAATATTATTTATGCTTTGCCTCTTTACTTGTAAAAATTGTGGGTTTAGTTTGAAAAGGATCCGGACTTGAGGGGTTTATTAGGTTTATATTTGGGGGTTTACATAACCATATTTGGTGAAAAATTCATTCCATTAGGTTTCATTTTCTGTGCAAGATATCCCATGTAAATGTATGCCATAAGAATTACAGATGTGAGTGAGAATATCTCGTTTGTTGTATTAGTAAAGTTAATATGAGATTGAGCTGGTGGAAAGACCTCTATAGAATATTTTACCTCATTCACAAGGGGTTACCTTTAAAAATAAAAGTTCATGTAACAAGGTTAGAACCATTCAAGTGATTGGCTATCACATTCTCCAAAATTGATACAGAATAATATACACTATGGTCTTTAGCTCGGTTCATGTAAGGTTGATAAAGTAAAGATGTATCTTCTTTCCTGAAGTTCGTTGATTAGCTCAGCAAACTTTGTAAAAGCACTAATACTCCTCGCTTCAATTAGCCATGCTTCTCTGAGCATCAAGTTTCTGTCGTTTCTTTATTCTTTAACATGGTTCTTGAATGTAATTGGCTCTAAGCATTTAGTTCTTGAAATGTTCAGCTATAATCACAACCATTGCCATGCCCTTTTCCTGTTTTTGGTTGAGGGCCGCTTTTGTGTGCATGCAGGTCAGGAGGTTTCGGGGAACTCATTTAACAGTATTGGGCCATTTTTGGTCGATGCTTGAGATGAGATGCAATATTTGTTCCTTGTGTACAGTGTAGCTTAATGCATTTTTTTTTAATATTACATATTGTTTGCCATTATTAGTCAGATTTTTATATTGTCTTTCTAGGTATATTGATGGTTCACGAAGGAAGTCTAACACCTAACAACATTGAGTTTGATTTCATGTTGGAAACCATTAAAACCATGGTTTTACTGCCTTGCTTCCATCAAAACATTGGTTTTGAAGGTTTTTAATTTAACACGGAACCAAACTTGCTCCAAGTCTTAAAGATGGAGTTGCTGAACCTATTTGGAGGTTAATAAAACAAGTGCAAAAAAAGCGCATTTGGCACCTGAATCTCAAGGAAAACGTGTTATCATCCACAATTTCACCAAAATGGTGCCTTATGTGATCATGTTTGATCAATTTTGAACCCTAAGTTTGTGTCTATGATGAGAATATAGAGCTGGTTGGGAAACAAAATGGAAGTGATTTTGGAGAAAAACTAATGTTGGAACTATATGCTGTTATTGGTCATAATATTGTTGTGCTTTCAACGTTTTATGAAGTATATCATTTGATGTTCTTCAAGAAATTGGTTGTTTAAATAGTGTCTTGAAGGGAGGCATGACTCAAATCATCTCTAGCTTGGGCAAAAGTAAGTTATTTGTTCAGGGTTTGGTCTTAATCTTCTTCAAATTATTTCTTCAAATAAGAGCCGCTCCACAGGATCTTTCTTTAGCTTTTCCTGTGCTTTTTAGATTATTCTTTTATAGCAAAAGAGTGATTTAGGAAATGAAAATTTACTGAGGAGGCATTAAGTGCAGGAAACAACAATCTGCGGAAGGATTGAGCTAATTTGCGAGTTGTTCCATTTTTGAATAACTCTTGTTCGTTGAAAGGGAAAAAATGATGCTCAATTTCGGAAGTGTCATATGGAAGATATGTTTCTCTGAGATACAGTTTAGGAACTGTGAATAATGTGACTTGCATGAAATGTCCGAGAAGAGAAGCGGATAAAATATTCAAACTCTTAATCGTTGTGTTCTATTAAAGTGGAGGTCTTTCTTTTCTTTTCTTTTCTTTTCTTTTGTCTGTGTGTAAAGAGGTCTTTTTTTATCTAAGGGTTTTTGGTTCAACTAGTTGAAGTTTAAGAGATTCAAATCAGCTTATCTTAAAGTCTTGAGTTCAAATATTGATGCAATCCTGTTGAATAAACGGTTTTGCAAAAAGAGGGTCCAAATTAATTTTGGTGGTGTTAGTGATATTGAACACAAACCTAAATCCCCAACAAGAACAGCAAGGGAATCAGCTGTCGTCAATTTCATTAACAAAATCCACACAATAAACTCACTAAAAACAACATGGGCGGGGTTAAATAAAAAAAAGGAAAAAATCATCGATAATGATCTGACAAAAAAATTTAATCACAAACAAGAGTCAATAACAAGCAGCAAGAAGTCACATCACTTGTTGTTGATGGTATAGTATATATATTCTTCTTACTGATGCTTCAAATTCAACACCATCCAATATAACCAATTGTGCTATTCTCTAAGAAGTGATAGAGATGGAGATACTTACGGACACAACCCTTCCCGAAAAATGAAAGTCAATAGAGTATTATTTAAGTCGAGGCTTGACATTCTTTGACATGCTATTTCCTTCGTTTTTATATATATATAAAAAAATATATTACACAATTTAATAAAGTTAGTTAATCATAATAATTATATCAAAAAATAAAAAAAATTGAACTAAAATGCTTTATGTTAATTAACATAAGCATGCATTAATTATTTCTCATTTATGTAAATTATGAGGAGTAATTTAAGAAATGTGTAATAAATGCTTATTAAAATAGATGATTTTGCTTATATAAAAAACAAGCAAAAAGTAATAGTTTCTCCAATAAATAAAAATGGAGAGAGCATTATTATTACCTAAATTGTTTTGCAATGTTTCAATTTCTAAAAGTCTTTATATCCCATCCTAACGTAAGTAATCATTACATATATAAAAATAAGGTTAAAGGCTACAAAAAATGACATGTGTCCATTTTTAAGTGTGCCGAAATATTAGCAAAATCACCTATTTTAATAAGTTTACCTAATTGAAATTCAAATGAATATATATATATATATATATATATCTATTTAAATATTTAGAAAAATAACATTTGTTTAAAATTTTCCATCTGTCATTGTGATTTCTGAAAATTTTCATCTATCCTAAAGATTTTTTGAAAATCAAGGCTCATACGATCGAGTATATATGCATACATATATCTATTTGAATGTAAATTTAAATTAATATCTATCTATTTAAATATTTAAAAAAAGAATCTGTATTTAAATAGTCAGATCTATTTTTATGATTTCAAAAAATTTGTATCGTATAATCAAATATAGATATATATTTATTTGAAGTTAAATTAATATGTGTCTATCTAAATATTTAATATACAATTATAGGTTTAAAAATAGTAAAGTGCATATTTTTATTTACGAAAATGTATATAATCAATTATTTACATTTAAAAATATTAATTTTGATGAGTTGATATACATATTTAATATTGCATAGTTTAAAAATATTAATTTTATTTATGATTTGTGAAATATATGTGTAATACTCAATAAATCTATTTGAGTTTGGATCTCTACAGTTATTTGAAAGTTTTTTTATGAGTCATTTTAAAAATAGGTTACATCCATTTAAAATATATAAAATTTTAAAATTTGGTGTCTCCTAATGCTTTGGATCATATCAGACAATGAACCATCCGTATAATATTAGCTTCATGTACTCGACTACTGTAAAGTTGCGTTCTAAGACAAGTTCTATCCATTATTTTTGATTAAATTTTGTCAGTATTTATGATATTAAAGATAAGGAGGGCAAGAGACCACGAATGATTACTTAATGGGTATGTCCTAAGCTTTTTTGAATTTTTTATTTGAAAATTTTATTTGACAAGTTTAAGATAATTTTCCTATCTATTTGAAAACTTTATTTAATACATTTATATAATACCTTATCTATTCAAAAAAATTTTCTATCTTAAAATTTATTTTTTTAATTTATTTAATGAAACATATATGTAGTATTATACTTTATTTATATGAAGCATGTTAAGTTAGACTTTCTATATTGGAACATGAAAGTTAAATAATTATATGTTGTTTATAATCATACCTTAATTATTATTTATACATAGCAGATTCCTTCATCGTTGTTTATTTCTCTAATTTATTTTATTTAATTAATCATGCAAAATAAAAAATCATAATTGTTGTACCTTGTAAATGACACCGGCATTAATAATTAAGAAATATTGTATTAGTTTAAATGATCACTCAGAGTGACAACAACAATATTTAAAAAGGTGTGAGATTACACAATTCTAATCCAATGCCATTTGTCTAATATCTATGCAATGTATAGTTGCTGCGCGCTATATTATATAGAAGTGAAAAGGCATATGAAATTTTTGCTATTTAATAGATTATATATCAATTAGGTTTTATATTTTATGCTTTTTATTTCACTTATTTAATTTTTTTAATGTTCTACAATTTTTTATTTTCCCATTTTTATTTGATACATGTCAGCTTGATAATTTTAATAAAAATTTGTGAGCCCTACCTAATTATTCACATTTTTTCATCTATCATGTATAGATTGAAATATCTAATTATTATATATATATATATATATATATATATAAAAGTAGATTTAAGGTTATGTATGAATGACACATGCCTTTTTTTGGGTTTGTTGCAATTTTATATTTTGAAAGATTTTTCTTGCGATTCAATGCTTCGAAGTCGAGTTCAGAGTTAAGTTTGGATTGATTTATCAATTTTTATATGTATTAAAAAATTATGTTTATCTATTTAAAATTCACATTTGATAATTTTGAAAGGATGTTATATTTTAGATGTATATTTATTTGAATTCAAATTAATATCAAGCTATCTATTTAAATATTAGAAAACTATTATGGGTTTAAAATTTTTAATTCAGATTACGATTTCCAAAATATATATCTACAATGATTATGAGTTTAAAAATACTAACACTTCATTATATATGATGATGGTGGCATTATATTAAAAATAGATATCATTTACAGAAATAATGGTGGCATTCCTATGAATCTCTATAATTAAATAAAAAATAGATATCATTTAGGACTTTAAATTCAGATAATTTAATATGTACCAGGTATCTATCATCACAAAAATATATATTTAATATCTATCACCATTTTAAAAAGTTACAATTTCATTCGCTCTCTCAATTCATCCTTATTCAATTATAAATTAATAGTTTTTGACGATACATCACATTTCACCCCTTCATCTTTTATATGTATATAAAAAAATTTACTTGAAAATATTAAATATCAAAATTTTGTTGATAGATGATTTAGTTAAGAATTCAAGTTGGATTTGATATTCAAATTAAAAATTAA